ACATTAGTAACAAAGAAACAGAATTTCCGGAGGACGAGGCCCGGAAATCAGGATTTTAAAAAGATTCCCAGGTGATTCTAATGTGCACCAAGGTTGAGAACCACGGCTCTACAAAGAGCAGGGGCCTCCAGGTGCTGAACTGCTGGGTCGGCCTAATCAGTCGGTTCCAATGGGAACAGGTTTTGATTCGGCAGAAACATTTGAGTAAAGCAACGTGGCTGAGCCGGGCGGTCCCAGTGGCCCCTCCGAAGCCTGTGCCGCTTGCCCGGGTTTATTTATTCCGTTTAATAAAGTGCTGCCTGGCGGTCGCAGGCGTCCCGAGCCTCCTGTGCTGACGGCGCCATCACTATGCAGCGCACGGCGCCTGAGTCACTTCCCAGCCTGGTTTGTTTTTCCAATTTATTTAATTAAAACAGATGACGGCGCTGCTGCTGCGGGGAGGTCGGGGGGAGCCCGGTTTCAGGCTGCAGCGATCGCAAGGAGCTTAGAGAAAAGTGGGCACATCGTCGCCCACGTCCCCCCGCCCGGCGAGCGTTTACAGCAGCGTCTCCCTCCCAGAGGCCTCCGCTCTCCCACCCAGGCGTCCACCAGGGCCAGAGCCCTTTTCCTGGCCACTCCTGCAGGTGTTCCCTCTCGGGTGGCTCTCCTGGGAGGGCACCGATGGGGCAAAGTGGAAGTCCCGTCAGTTAAAATCAAGCCGCGTGCTAACGGAGCAAACAGGAAGAGCGTGGCCCGGGCCCGGCATGTGCGGGCACACTGTGTGACGTGGGCGGGCTCTCTGTGCCCCAGGGGGTGGCCATGCTCAGCACCCAGTGACAGCAGCTCCGGGACCTGGGCAGAGCGAGGCTGAGGGAGGGCTTGGCAGTGGCCTTGGGGGGTGAGCCGCCGGCGGCCAGGCCCTCACGCGCTCCTGGTTCGGTTCTCCCAGCTTCCCAGAAGGCGCATGGTGCTCCCGCAGGCGGGGTGGTGACGCTGGCAGAGGCCAGGCACCAGCTCCACGGGCGTGAGTGACTCGTGGACCATGGGCATGGAGGCTGTCCCGGGGTTTCACGGGCACAGGTGCACACACAGCGAGATGGGAACCGCCCCGGCCAATTCACAGCCACCTCCCGCCTGGTTCCTGTCTCTTTACGGGGACCTTGAAGAGCTACTTTCTTGCCAGATTTCCAGATACGATCC